TTTTTTTTTTTTTTTTTTTTTTTTTTTTTTTTTTTTTTTTTTTTTTTTTTTTTTTTTTTTTTTTTTTTTTTTTTTTTTTTTTTTTTTTTTTTTTTTTTTTTTTTTTTTTTTTTTTTTTTTTTTTTTTTTTTTTTTTTTTAGTTTCCTAACCTTTTGTTTTCTTTTTCAGCTGTCAGGTATCTGTAGTGGGCTTCTGGCTGCAGTGTTACAGTGGCCAGTGTCCGTGTGAGGGGTAGGTTTCACCAGGGGTGGGTGGCATGACTGGAGTGTTAGATGGAGTAAAGGTCCTTCTGTGCCATACAAACAATTCCTACCCCTGTGGCTGCAGGAGCCAGAGTGGATTGGATGTCAGGACCTCTGTCTAGCACCAGGAATCAGTCATTGTTCAAATGGTGGCTGCCCTTTGCTCCCTAAACAAGTTTAGCATGGGACAACCTGGAAAATGTTTGCCCTAGATTTCCCAGTGATGTGCTGATGTTGGAGATGGGTGTCCTCTAGAAGTGTGTTCTTGTCTCCACTGCAGGAGGTTATCTCTCTGTGGTCTGTGTCTCTGACCTTTGCAAATATTTGTTCAGCACAAATGGCTGGAGGCTGAGGTCCTGTGCAGGGGAGGAGTGACCTGTCACAAAGTTGAAGTGGTAAAAATGCTCTGCCTGATGTCAAGGAAGAGGAGCCATTCACTGTGGAAGCAGCGTTAGTGAGAGGCAAATGCCAACATTCAAGTTGTCAGTGGAAAGGGAAGGGCATAGAAACGATTTAATTTTTTTACTAGTGGATTTTAATTGCTTTAATAAAGCATTGGAGCTTTTTCCCAAACCAGTCAATGGAATCATAGAATATTTGAGGGGAGAAGGGACCTTGAGAGGTTGTGTCCATCCCTTGCAGTCCTCCACCTTTTCTACCTCCTGCACACAGAGCTCTGGTTTTTCCTTTTCCTTCATATCTTCCCAATTTCAGAGAGACCTGATCTCTTAGCTTTCTATTTATCTAACTACCTTTTTTTGGCTATAAAATCTAGATTTTGAATTGATTTTAATCGAAATAGATTTTGAATGTCTCCTGTTTTAGGGAATATTTCAGTGTTAGCTGCTTCTGGCTTGTTGCACTTACACTGGCTGTTCACACAAGCTGTCTCTCTCAGCCCTCAAGGGAAGGAGCCTTAGTTTTTAATTTTAGCTTCTTCAGCTACCTGCTGACAGAGTTTCATTTCCACCTCCCACCTTCTCTTTCCCTCACGGGCCCTGTAAGCAAGAAAAACTGAGATCCGAAGTCAGTGTTGGGCAGATCTTCCTTTGGCAACAGCTCTGTTGACGTTAAATTGGAACCAAGTGGATATTAATTACTTGCAGTAACCAGTGAGAAGCCAACCTGAGCCCTGTCCATAACCACCTTTCATTGTAGGCTTATAGTGGCATCCACACTCTCACTGGCTGGACTTCAGAGCCATCGAACCTAGGTATGAGCCTGTAAGATATAAATTCGCATCTCTAACACATTTTGGAGCGTTTATATCAGGTAACGTGAATTTGTAGAAATGAAGTCAGTCAGTAGAAATCCCAGCTCAGCCACGGACCTGCCAGGTGGTCTTGGGCAAGTGTTTGCTGTGTTGGTGCCTGTGCTTCCTCATGTGATTGTCAAGCGCTTTCCCCCAGAGAAAGCTCTTGGTGCGGCGTGCCGAGCTGGCCCAAGTGGCGGGTGGTTGTGCCGGCCGGGCACTGCAGGCACAGCCACCACTGACGGCGCTGCCTCCCCCTGCAGGCGTCATGTTCCGCAAGAAGAAGAAGAAACGCCCGGAGATCTCGGCTCCGCAGAACTTCGAGCACCGTGTCCACACCTCGTTTGACCCAAAGGAGGGCAAGTTTGTGGGCCTGCCCCCCCAATGGCAGAACATTCTGGACACGCTGAGGCGCCCCAAGCCAGTGGTGGATCCTTCGAGGATCACGAGGATGCAGCTCCAGCCCATGAAGGTAAGAGAGGGAGGCGGCTCCTCGCTCTTGCAGTGTCCCATTGCCCAGAAACGGGGCTCGGGGTGGCGTCTGTGTGGGACTGAGGGGAGAACAGGGGCTGGGCTTTGATAGAACCTTCATGAGCAATAAGGACTGCAGTAGTGCCACTGTTGGCTGCCTTTATGTCACTGTGCCAGGGACCTGGGAAGCTCTCGTGGGGCTGACAGGAACCGGGATGTGCTCAGCTGCTGTACAGGGAAGGGAGGAGGAGAATTTGGGGACAGACCTGTTTTAGCAGGTTTGTCATTCTCGTGGATGAGCAAAGCAGGCTGGTAATGAAGTTGCCAGGGAAGCCTGAGTGGGAGAGAGTGGGGTATGCTGGCTTGCTGTTCATGGACAAGTGAGGACAGCAAGGACTAAAGGAGCGTTTGGGCTAAAAGAGTTCATAAAGCACCATTTCGATGGAAAGTAGGACACATTAAACAGGAGCATGTCCTTAGAGCAAGTCCTTCAGTAAGGAGAAACAGGTGATTCTGATGGATGGGTGGCTTCACTTGGCTGCTGGTACTGGCTTTGGAGACTGTGTGACAGCAGGAACCTGCTGTTGGAAAAGGAAATGAAAGATGAGGACAGAATTATTGTATTTAAAAGTCTTGGGAGCTTGTGGGAGGTTTTTGTTCTCTGTTAAAAAAAAAAGTTACAGAGGCCTAAAAGCTGAAAGGTGAGTTGTAAAATAGAGATGTTACTACTTGGGTTTTAGGAGGGATATAAAAAAGAGTAGGCCATCTGATGAATATATTTAGCTTTTTGTGTATAGGTGTTAAAAACATGGGGACTAAATGGGACTATATTTGGTATAATGTAAGTTTTTTATACATAATCTGACCTGCAGTTGAAATGGCACATCATATTGGAGCAGAATGCTGATTTGTAAAGGAAAGACTTGCTCAGGAAGAACAGCTGAAAGAAAAAGGCAGGAGGGATTGCCTGGTGTACTGAATGTGCTTTGAGGTTCAAAATATAGTAGGGGATAGGAGCACAGTCCAGAGCAGAGATGAAATGTGTAATAAGAGACCAACTTGGTCAGATCAGGAGCTCTTTAATGAGCTTAAACTGCAGGAGGATTGCTCAGAAGGGTGGAAACTAGGTCAAGTTATAAAGGGCAAAGAGAAAAGAAATTTATGTAGGAACAAAACTGGAAGGCCAAGGCATGAAAAGAGATGTTATTCTCAAAGAACATAAAGGGCACTAAGGAGACATCATAAGTGCACTGAGGAGAAGGAGGATGAAGGGAAGAATGTGCTCAATGCTGATCTTGGAAGAAAGTTAGTAACAGATGACACCGGGAATTCTTAAGTGTTTAATGATTTTTCTGCAGCCTTTATTGAGTGTGTTTAGTGGGCTGACACAATTAGCATGAGCATGAAGGGATGGGAATGCAAGCTGGAATAAGAAAAGAACGTGAACAGAAATGAGTCTTGGTTAAGAAGTTGCATTTTTTCAAGTCAGCTGGGCCTAGTGAGATTCAAGGAATTGCAGATCAGTCAGAATAATTTCTATTCCCAGAAAGAGGGTGGAACAAATAAGCAAGTAATCTATTTGCAGCCACTTCCAAGGAGATAGCAGGGTAATAGCTGGCGGCCAGTGTGGATTTATCAAGAACAAATCACGTTAAGCAACCCAATTTCCATCAATCCCAGGGTGTGGGGCTGTGGGTCAGGGGGAAATGACAACACTCTCCTGTAGCTTGACTTGAGTGAGGCTTCTGACACTGCACCAGTGGCATTTCCACAGCAAACTGAGCCATCTTCTCGAGTATTAGGCAAAGGATACTCCAAAAATAGTGTGAGGCATCACTGTCAAAACAGGAATGTGCATGAAGAGATTCCCGGGAGTTTGCCCAGAGCCTAATGCTGGTTGGTACTTTCATGTGTGACTTATTAAAGCTGAGCATGGCAAAAGCTGAAAGGAGGTGCAAAGCCTTTAGAGAACAAGGACAGAATACCCAACAGGCTTTAAGAACTAGAGGAGAATCTTAAACTAACACTGTTTTTTTCCCAGTAAGTCCAAGTGCAAATACTCTCTGAGACTGCATCACGTAGTTGAGTATTTCGGGTAAACTCCATTTGAATTAATTCCTGTTCAATTATACCAATCAATAAGATTTTTTTAAAGTGCTAATTGGCCAAGCCCTTATACTAGTCCTGGATTCAACTGTCAGAGTTGTTCGTTTCTGGTGTGTAGCCCTTTATGAAAAGGGGCTTTTCTTGTTATAGTAAATTCTGCTCAGTAAGGCATGATCTGTGTAAGAGCACTCCAGATAGATTTGGCTCAAATTTAGATGTTTCTTCATTAATTTGATGCAGTCTTTATAGCAGCAAAGCAAGGCCAAGTCCCATCTTCCCTGTCCACAGGGGGTAGGACTGTCTTAATGGGAGTGACCTGAGTCTAATTTTAGGGAGTTTCTAAATAGGAGATGAGCACTGAAATGGATTTTCCAGAGAGCCCACAGCATGTTCTTAGAGACTTCTTATTTAGTGAACACACAAGTCTCTCTGGAATGACTTTTGTCCATTTGGGTCCGACAAGTCCATGTCCCCAGCACGTTGTTGCGTGGCTGTGGCCGGGCCGTGGAGGAATGTTTGTGTGCTGAGGGAGCAGAGTGAAGACCAGAATTTCCAGCTGCAGCTGGTATGTGTGCCATGGAATGAGTGGGGCTGTCCTTCCTTCACCTTGTTTGACAGAAATGTTGTGTTGTGCCTTTCATTCTCAGACGCTGAGCAAACCAGGCGCTCGTTGGAGCGTGGTGGTGGCGTTCTGCTGAAATTACTGGAGCTGCTGTGTTGCACCAGCTAAATATTAGGCTTGGTGTAATTAATACAGCATGTTTAGAAGATCCCTGGAGCTCAGTTAGCAAACAGGAGATTGCTGTCACTCCAGGGAAGGACTTTCCTTCAGGCAGAGATTCATGAAAGTGTAGGAGTGATCCTATGCTGCGAATTTCTGTGGAGAAATGGAACCTTTTGGTTCCCAGCACTAAAAAAGCTTCTGTAAGCCTTTCAGTTCCAGAAAAAACAGGGTTAGAGCACTACATAATATATTGACAGCTTCAAGTGTCCTACTTGTCCAGAGCCGGTGCCTGTTTGGATGGGAGCCTCGTTCTGCAGCCGGTGCTTACACGGCAGTTGGGAGCTGTGGTGACCCTGTGCGGGCTTTAATTAGAGTGGCTTGGCAGAGCACAGGGGGATGCAGAGCTGGAACAGCGTGCTCTGCACTGCTCAGGGTGGACATGCATTAGCAGAAATTGGGGAGAAGCAGACTGGGGGAGGCTGATTCCAACACCCAGAGTGCTTCAGGGGAGAGATGAACCTTGTGTTGGAACAGCGAGGTAGGTTCTGCAGACGGAGCTTGCAGCGTGCTGCAACTTCTTCTGAGAACCAATATTTCAGGAGCTTGTTGAGCCATTAGTGAGGTAGTGTCACACAGTTTTGGCACAAGAGAGCCAGGAAAGTTGAAACATCCCAGGTTGGCTCTAATATTGTCTTTTAGAGCCTGAGCACAGCAGCAGAATTGACTGTTGTGGCTGACAGCACTGCTGCTCCAACAGCAAGGTGTGACCCAAAGATTCCTTTTTTCCCCCCTTGGTAAAGGACAATGAGAAAAAGGCAGGAAAAATTCTTTTTCTCTAAATTCCTTGAGTCTACTTTGGCTATATAAACAAAATCTAGCTTTTGGCAAGATAAACCGAGCCTGAATTGTTACAACTGTGACTTTTTTCCTCGTTTCCCACCTTGCCCATGTTTCCCAGACCGTGGTACGGGGCAGCACCGTGGAAGTGGAAGGCTACATCTCGGGACTGCTCAACGACATCCAGAAGCTCTCTGCCATCAGCTCGAACACCCTGAGGGGCAGGAGCCCCACCAGCAGGAGGAGAGCCCAGTCCCTGGGGCTCCTGGGGGATGAGAGGCCCCCGGACATGTATCTCCAGAGTCCTGAAGCAGACTGGGCAGACAAGTACGGGAACTACCTCAGCTGCAACGGGGGGTCCAAGGTGGCCCGCAGACAGACCATGTGGCCGGACTACAAAGCCCGTCTGGAAGGCCAGTCCCATCCCAATGGAATGGTGACCAAGGCGCAATCCCTGGGCCCGGCCGAGTTCCAGGGCGCCGACGGCAGCTGCCTCCAGCGCAGCCCAGCGCTGCAGCATGTGCCGGCCGGGCCGGGGGACAGCGACACCGCGCTGAGGAGCCCCGAGGAGGGCTGGCCCCAGCGAGCTGCCAGCTCCAGGCCCTCGGGGGAGGGCAGCCCCAGCTCCAAGTCCCGGGAGAACAGCCTCAAGAGGAGGCTGTTGCGCAGCGTGTTCCCCTCATCCGGCCCCTCAAACAAGCCGGGCTCTTCCCTGCAGATCAAGGTAAGAGCTATTCCCTGGCTGTGAGTGGGCGCAGTGTTGACTTTACAGTTGCAGAGGTTATGTACACAGCTGAACCAATTTAACTGCAAACATCGTGCAGCCATCTGTTATTGTTATGATTAATGCTGGAATCCAAATGGTCCTGGGCCGGGGAAATGTGTGGTCCGTCGGTGCCTCACAGGAGGCACTGTGAGGCACAGCTCAGGATGGCAGCCAGATCTCTGGGAGAAGGGTTGGTTGGCAGAGCTGTGCTTGCAGGAGCGTGGGCTGGCAAGGATGAGGTGACTTACTCACTTGTACCCTTCTGTGAGGTGAAGGCATAACTGCAGTGCCATTCCAGTGGCATCAGGGAGCCTTTGCCATTTGGGAAATGGCTGTGGCTTCCATTAGTAATGTGTTCTTCTGCCTGTGCAAACCAGAACTGCCTCGGAGAGTGGGCTGAGTGTCACTGTATCTGCCAGGGTTTGCATTGGCACCCACGGTGCTGTCACACAGGAAATGTGACTGCTGGCTGCTGCAGAGGGTGGGACAGCTCATGGCTACAGCTCCCCCAGGAAAGCTGTCCTGAATGGATGACTCACTTTGTGTTGAGCTGGGAGAAGATCTCTGGTTTCTGTACTGGATAGGAAATGCAGCCACTGCTGCTCTTCCATCCCAGGCTGACCCAGCACCCACCAACCTCCCACAGCTTGTCTGCTGCCTTCAAAGGCTGGGCCAGACTGATTTGCAGCAGCTCCACAGTCCCTGAGGTGGGAGGATAATGACAGGAACCACCATCCCAACCAAACTGACTGTTCTGTAGTGTGTTGCAGGGACAGGGGATGTCTCCAACCTGCTTCTCGCAGCTTGCATAAGGATCAGGCTCCAGGCTTTGGGCACAGTGGCTTTGCTTTCCAAGGCAGTGGGATTCTCAAGGAATGCAGTTCTTGTGTGGCATAAGTTGCACTTACTGCTGTCTCAGTGACTCTGGGCTCATCTACACTGCCTGGAGTACCAAGAACTGGCCACTTGAGTCTTGCCCAGCCCGAGTGTCTCTGCCATCCTCAGAGGTTCCCATGGATGTGCTTGGGTGCATTTGAACTCCAGCTGTTTGTCAGAGGAGAGGAGCAGGGAAGACCTCGGGGCTATCCAATCCATCTCCCTGCTCCAGGGAGGGATCTGTGCCATAGCTGGGAGTTGTTTATCTGATGTGTTCTTAGCAGCCTCCGGTGGTGACAACATGAGGCTCCCTCAGGTGGGGGTGATGATGTGTGAGAAGTGTGTAACTGCAGGTGAAGGGGACAGGGATACAACTGAATCCTGGAATCCCAGAATGGTTTGTGTTGAAGGGACCTTAAAGCTCATCCAGTTCTACCCCCTGCCATGGGCAGGGACACCTTCCACCAGCCCAGGTTGCTCCAAGCCCCGTCCAACCTGGCCTTGGACACTTCCAGGGATAGAGCATCCACCACTTTCCTTGGAGGTGGGTGCCATAACAGGCATGTGGGAAGGTCGAGTGAAACTTCCTTTAAACTCGATCTGGGGGCAGGAGTGGGACAAGCAGTGACCCCTCACAATGTCCCAGGACTGAGAAGGTGCACATGGGGCTGTCAGCTGTGGGAGCAGGGGGTAACACACCTGTGTGAGCCTGCACGTGTGCTGTGTGCCCCTCCTGCATGCTGGGGGTTAGAGAAAACCTTTTTGGGTTCTGCCTCCTGACACAAAACAAGATTTGGGAAATAAATGCTGTGTTGCTGTGAGCATGTAAGCACAGGAGTGCAGGGGTGGAGCTCCTGACATCCCCCTGTGTTTGTGCTGTGCCCTGATGCCACTAAACGGTGTTTTCCAGGGCCTGTGTGTGTGTGAAAATGAGTCCTGTGTGTCTGTGAGGCTTATGCAGATCCTGCTGTTGACAAAAATCCTTGATTAGAACCCAAAGTGCATGGAATTAAATCCTACACAATTATTTCCTGTCTGAGACGGGGAAAGGAGTCCTCTTCTAAAAAAGTCTCTGTTGGCAGTTTTTGGTTCCCATTCTCATATTATTAACTTTATTAATAATCTCTCTGAATTGTGAGGGAGAAAATGCTTTTTGCTTTGAAGTTATTTTGCCCTATAATACAAACGATTGGCTTGCTCATTCTGAAGCAGCTCCACTATTATTTTGCATGTGTTTGTATACCTATTTTATGTATATTTTACATACACACATGTAAGTATATAATGTATTTTATACCCCACCTGCTAGATGTTGCATTTTAATTAATCAGCGTTTCCAGGGTGTGTATGAGCATGACAAGGTTTATCCTTCTTGGGGCACCCATGCATAGTGGTTGCATGGGAATGTGTATCCCAAAGCCACGTTCCCACGGGCTGTGATCTCACTACACTGAGCAGGGGTGGGCCTGTGTGGCACTGGAGTGGGAGGGCTCCAAAAACCTCCAAATTCACGGTTGGTCACTTTGGAGCTGCCAAGGTGGCAGGTGGCTCTGTGTAGCTGGAGTCTCAGGCTGGCTGCCTCCAGCTGGCCTGGATCCCAATGTTTTTCCCAAAGCAGAGGGTAAGTTCTGTGCCTGATCGACAGGAATGCTCTGCAGGTACCAGTGGAAAGTGCAGAGAGAGTTTTCAGTAGGCAGAGTGTAATTACCCCAAGGGAATTAGGCCGAGACATCAAAGTGATTTACAGCCTTGGCATGAATCCTCTTTCCTTTTATACAGAGGAAGATCAGAGGCACAGAGGGATAAAGGATTTTCAAATTCTCTGCAGCACAGGTTGCCCCTGAGTTTTGGTGGCAAGGTTGGAATGCTTTTTAGCAGCTGGGGTTTTTTCTTGTGGGTTTTGGTCTTGGTGGTTTTTTTTAAAGCATGTGCTATAAAATGTTCCCTTTAAATTGCTTCAGTTTGGAGGTCCCTAAAGTGTAGCACCCATTCCCTAAAGGGTTCTTGAAGATCTGCATCCAAGCAGATCTTCATCCCAGCATGTGTTGGGCAGACCTGGAGCTCTTGACTCCAGTCAGCTCCAAGTTGTGCTAGGGCAGAGTGGAGCGACAGAAAACTGATTGCTGACTTTTGTTCCCCCTGCAGCCTAACGCTTTCTTCAGGCCCCAGCAGTGGGGCTCCCCGCGCAGCCCTGCAGCCAAAGCCCAGTCTCTGCCGCCAGATCCGCCCGCCCCCGATTTCCCCAGGGGGGTGTCGGAAGCCGGGACCCCCCAGCAGTCCCCGCCCGTGGAGAAGGCGGTGGCCCTGCCCCCGGGCCGGCCCTCGCCAGCCGGGTCCCCCCGCAACCGGCACACCCAGACCAGCTCCAGCAACCTCCACCTGCCCCCCGACTCCGGCGGGAAGGGGCAGCCGGTGGGCGAGGACCCCGTGGTGGTGACCCACGAGCAGTTCAAAGCTGCCCTCAGGATGGTCGTGGACCAGGGGGACCCGCGGGCAATGCTGGAGAACTACGTCAAGATCGGGGAGGGCTCCACGGGCATCGTGTGCATCGCGCGGGAGAAGCACTCGGGGCGCCAGGTGGCCGTCAAAATGATGGACCTGAGGAAGCAGCAGCGCCGCGAGCTGCTCTTCAACGAGGTGAGGGAGGGCACGGCCGGGGGAACAGCCACGCTGGCCAACAGGGAGGAGCAGGGCCATCTTCCCTGCCTTCCCTTCCCTTCCTACAAGCAGGATTATGCTTGTGCCAAGGATTATGCTGGGGGTGGGGGCTCTGCGCTGACTCGCAGGGCTGTGAGTCCTGCTGGGCTGGGGAGGATTGGGTGTGAGTGGTTTTGTGGTGGTCACTTGCTCACTGTGGATTTACAGGTGGTGATAATGAGGGACTATCAGCATGTCAATGTCGTGGAGATGTACAAGAGCTACCTCGTGGGAGAGGAGCTCTGGGTGCTGATGGAGTTCCTGCAGGGGGGAGCCCTCACAGACATTGTGTCTCAAATCAGGTATGAAGCAAAAGCAAAACCATCAACACCTGAGAGCAAGAGCAGAGTGGGGATTTCTGGGAAGAGTAGTTTCCCTCAGAGATCTTGTGTTTGTTGTGCCCTGAAGCTGCTACACTTTGTTATCTGTTTGAATTATGTGATAATACTTCTGATGTAGAAGGAACCTTGTTCACAGTACTGAACCCTTTAGGTACCCCCTGTTCATCTGCTTTATGACCTTCCCTGTAAAACACTGCACTCATAAAAAACACTGTTTACTACATTTGTTGGCTCCTGGCCAGGAAGTTCATTGAATAAGTATTAAAGCGCATGCAGAAATAGTTTTCAGTGGTGCAACCTTAGCCACAAATTCAACCTCGCTAACTCCTCTGGAAAAGTGCAGCAGAGCCTTGAGATTTGGACTCCTTCCCAAATTCCATTGCCTAAAGATAGCAGCTACCGGACACTCTCCTAAATTTGTTTCCTTATCCACACCACTTGATATTCATTAATGCCCAAAGCGTTTCTGTAGGGCAGAGAAGTTGTTCTGAGATGGCCCCTGGAGTTCCCCTCACAGGGTGCTCTGGGCATGCACTTATGGTGGTCGTGCCTTACCCATGGCCTGGAGCACCCTCCTGCTGCTTCCCAACAGGCCTGTGGGGCTGGAAACTGGGGCAGGGAATACCAGCGGAAAGACTGACCAGGAGAGTCTGTAGATGAGCTTTTCTTTTTTGAAGATTCAGGATCTTAGCTGGATTATAATTAGGCAGCATTGCTAACACCAATTACATTTAGTTTTTCAAAAGTCATAGTATACCCTTGGTTCACTTATGCGCTCAGAATGTGCTCAGACTAGATCCTGTGGTGGATTTAAGGCATACATCTTGTTCTGTGATGTGTTTGGGAGGTGTGAAAAGCCACATTGTCCTCTGCAGGCTCCACCTGGAAGGAGTGTCCTGGAGACACTTAGCTGGGCCCTCCAGCACTGGATTCAGAGACTCATCTCAGGGTCTGAGAACCAACACTTAATCCTGAGGAGTTACAGCATTGCAGAGCCTGTGAAACTCCTGTAGCTCTTAGATGGCATTGGGATTACAGATAAAAATTGCTGAAGAGGTTTGTGAAGGGCCTGTGTGTTTACGTCTACCAGGCACTCTGAATTCCACTGTGGGACCTCAGCCTAGGTTGGTTTTACAAAGCTTCCTTTGAACCTGTTGGTGAACACTTGGTTTTTCACATGGTGGAAACGGGATCTGTTCGAACCGTAACATTTATCAGAAGTTAGCCTTTAACAGTTTTTCCCAGGGAGGAAAATACCCTCGTTCCAGTCACTAAACATTTACTGAGGGGGATAAGTGATTTGCATCTCCAGGAGTGAGGTAATTCTCCAGTAATGTGTTTTGCACTTGACTGAAACCAAATTCCATCCATGACAGGCTGAAAGTGCACCTCTTGTTATCAAAACCTAAAGGTGAGGTTCTTGGTGCTCATATTCCATGTGCTAACAGAGAGCGGTGGAAATCAGGAGGCTCTTCTCTGCTTCCAACCTGTGCTACCTCTAGTTAGGTGTGAGTGTACCCAAGGTGTGTGCAGGCAAAGCTGAAAGATCCCTGTATTTGCTATCAAAGAGTGTGGTCAGAGATTTTCTGGATATGGTTGCACAATAAGCCTTGTGCATCTTTACTATATTTGCTTAAAAAAAGAGCTGTCTCACCACTTACTGCAGCACCTTGGCATCGAGCAGCACTGCTGCCTGTCAGAACTGCTTGAAACAGCATCTTGCAGAATGAGCTGAGATACAGGATTTAAAATACAATTTCTCTGTATTAAACCTATGAAAACTTAAAATTGCCAACCATAAAGTCAAAGCTGTTTTCCGCAGTAACAGACATAGAAGAATGGTGAAGGTGAGATAGTAAAGGTCTAGGGAACCCAAACACCTGTGATTTAACTTGAGAATTGCTCCGTGCCCTTGTGGCTGAGCCCTGTCGCTGCCCAGCTGAGCTCCCCTGTCCCTGGTTGCAGGCTGAACGAGGAGCAGATTGCCACGGTGTGCGAGTCGGTGCTGCAGGCTCTGTCCTACCTCCATGCCCAGGGGGTCATTCACAGGGACATCAAGAGTGACTCCATCCTTCTCACTCTGGATGGCAGGGTATGTGTCCTCAGACAAACTGTTTCCTGTCTTCTGCTGCTACAACTTTGTCTCTTGCTTCCTTTCTGTCCCCAGTCCCTTGTTTGCAGCTCATCCCCTTGCTCCCTTTGATGTCTTTGTCTGTGGTGTTTAAGGTTGATTTTTAAGGTTGGTTGCTTTTCCCTCTGTACAGGTCAAACTCTCAGATTTTGGCTTCTGTGCTCAGATCAGTAAAGATGTACCCAAGAGAAAGTCCCTGGTGGGTACTCCCTACTGGATGGCTCCGGAAGTCATTGCCAGGATACCGTACACCACCGAGGTAAGGGACAGGGAGCAAATCATGTTCTCAAGTGTCACAGCAAAATAACTATTGGCTTTTCCAGGAGGAGCCTCTAGACTATTTAAAACAAAGTCAACTGTGACTACAGATTTGTTTGTCAAAGGATGGCAATATTTTCAATTTCAATATTGTCGGTAGACAAATAGATTGTTCTGCTTCCAGGAACGAGGCACAAACTTTATTCTTACAGCTTGGCCTAGACTTATACCAGCTGTGGACTGATGTGAGCAAGGAGCAGCCTGTGACACGATAGAGATCAGGAAATGGATGCCAGAAAGGGAGGTGTGAGCTCTGAGGGACTCACCTCGGGGAGGGTGGGATGGGAGCTCTGGAATTCCGGGCAGGTGGCAGCAGACTAATGAGTTTTGTTTACCAAGGAACCAGGTGTAGCACAGGCAGTTACTTGCAGACCTTTACATGTTGCAACACCACTGAGGCTCAGTCCTGGCTGCAAAACTGACTTTGTTCAAGTGCTGTAAGGAGACCAAGAGCATCAAGAGGTCAGTGTTTGACTCGGTACCATTTGTCAGCCCTGCTGCTCTGAACTGTGTGTGTTGATGTGCCATTGGCTCCCACAGGTGGATATCTGGTCCCTGGGGATCATGGTGATAGAGATGGTGGATGGAGAACCCCCCTACTTCAGTGATTCTCCAGTCCAGGCAATGAAGAGACTCCGAGACAGTCCTCCTCCCAAACTGAAGAACTTCCACAGGGTGAGAATGCTGGCAAACACTCGTACACCTGATGGTTATCACAGGGCAACCTCTGTATCAGCTGTCCCCAGAACAGCTGACTGTGGAGATGCTCTTGCTAGGAGGTTTCTTGGGAAGTGCTTTGGCCCCTGGGGCCCCGATGGTGCTTTGGGAAACAGCCCTGACAGTGTGAGGGCACCTGGGCATAAATGGACAGTGCAAATCAGAGCTGCCTTGGCTGGACCCAGCAGTTCCCAGCTTGCTGATGTCAATAGAGTAGCTCATCTTCCAGGGAAGGAAACAGGAGGGTCCTTGGGAGTTTCCAGTTTTGTGGCCTTCAGGACTGCAAAGAATGTGTTATTGTCAGAGCAGGAACCTCAGGACAGACAGGAGCTCATGGAGACACTGCAACTGCTCTGAAGATGAACTTGGCTGCGTGGTTTTTAGGAAGAAGTAGCAGTGGCATAAGAAACAGTGATCACCTTTCAGTCCCCACTTAGAGCAGTCCTTTCATTCCAGGCCCAGTCTGTGAGATCAAACAGCTTCTGCAGCATCCTGAGCTGCCCGGCCTTTCCAGTTAATCAGAGGATCTGCAGCTGCTAAAAGTGAATTATTTAACAGAGTAGACTGCTGAACTAACAGCACACACTCCAACATCAACAGCTGCTCTCTCCTCTTTGCCTTTGCAACACTAATTGAAATGTCACAGTCGTGTTCTGGACCCAGTGCCCTCCTTGAGCAGTGTAAAGCCATCCTGGTCTGTCACCTTATGTGGTGACATGGCCCTGCTGTCAGTCTGTGACAGCCAGAGCTGACCATAGTCTCCCTCTGCTCCAGTGTATCCCGGGAAACAGACTGGCTTCCAGCAGATCTCTGGGTCTCAGGCCAGGGGCTGTCCTGCCCCGTGTCCTGAGGGAGCTCAGCCCTCCATTCTGGTGCCAGTCCCTGGCTTCCCGTGGTCAGGGACTGCGGTGCTGGTGCACCAGGTTCAAGGGGTGGCACTGGGATAGTCCCTGCTGCTCTGCCAAGGCACGGGCAGGCTCCCTGCCAGGGATCCAAGGCTGGATCCCAGCACTCCTCCTGAGCTGGGCGCTGACTTCCACCTCCAGCCATCCCAGCAAAGTCATCCAAAGGGCTCCTGAAAGAAACACTAGCTCAGTGTGAACAGGATTTCATGTTCTACTTCTAAATCAGCCAGAGCTGGGAAAGTGCCCCCAACCTAAACTGGATGTCATTAACAGCATTTAAATAAATAAATATAAGCCAAGTTCATTTTTCATTCCGTTTTAACAATGCAGAGGATTAAATCAGCAGGAGATGTGCAGGGCCTGGAAGTGGCGCTTGGGGCTGGTTACTCCAGGCTTTGACAGCTCTCCTAAAGGACAAACCTGGGACGTCATTCAGCTTTTTGGTACCTGTTCTGCAGCTTCTTCATCCTCTTGCATCAGCAGCATGAGGGTTCCAGGCTCTCCAAACCTATTTGGGAATATTATTTAACTACTTTTTCCATGATCTGTGGCCAGTAACAGAATGAATTGAGGCACCCTTCCCACCCGGGGGATGTGTCCAGGTAGCAGGAATCTTGCTGAACTGCAGAAAATAATGAATGGGAAACAGGAGTGATCTGGATGGAAGGGGCACTCCAGGCAGGCTTGTCCTGATTGACTGGGCCCCGTTAGAAAGAAAACAACCCATGGAAGTGCTGTGCCTACCACTGATAGAAGGTTGTGCCCCTGACATGAAAAGTGTGAGATCCATGTCACACTGCCGGGAAAACAGGGATACAGAGGGGGAAGGTGCAGGATCCCTTTAAGCAAGCCCACCTGGGCAGCCTGGTGTTTGCATGAGCTGTGCTTGGTGCCTTTGCAGGGTTGACCTGTTTGGTTGCTTTTTTTACAGACCTCCCCGGTTCTGAGAGACTTCCTGGACAGGATGTTGACACGGGATCCTTTGGAAAGAGCAACAGCACAAGAACTTCTGGATCATCCCTTTTTGCTCCAGACAGGACTTCCAGAGTGTTTGGTGCCCCTTATCCAACAGTACAGGAAGCGCACCTCCACCTGCTGACTCTGCCTGAGGGGAAATTGTGGGCAAAAAGGAATGGTTATAAAAAAAGAAACCTGAAAAACGAAGAGCCCAGGTGGTTTCATCCTGTGAATGGTGCTTGGAACTTGTCAGCGATGGCTTTAGAGGAAGAGTGTGAATCCTGTCCGTGCATTCGCAGCCTTCGGGGGCTTCTCCTTTGCTGAAGACAATCAATACAGACAAGATCCAGGTGAGACCGAGGATAAAGCGGGTATTCTATGCCTTGGGAATCGCTGCTGCCGGAGGAGGCATTTGAAGCCAAGTCTGAAGTTGTATATCTGAATGTCTGTGAGTTTCTGCACATCTTGGCTGCTGAACACTGAACTGGAATGGTGTTTCCCAGTTAGAAATGTGATCTTTGCTTCCTTCATTGTCCACTGGAGTCCTGCGCTGACCCATTCCGGGGCACAGACCCCTTTAAACTGTCAAATGCACAAAGACTTAAATTTTTTTCGTCTGAGACTTTTTCACAGACAATTTTAATTTCCTTGGGTTAATTGTGGACCTGGAAACCTGCCCACACTTCCCTCGGGAGCGATGTGATGTGTATATATTTGTTTCTAAGTGGCTCTCTTGCATCAACAGGCTTCTCTTTTGCTGCGGAATGTGTATGGTTTAGTGGTCAACCTTGAATCCATTTCATGATTTTAAACTTCTGGAAATCCTTGGATACAGGCCTCCAAGTGGACTCTGTGAAGACCAGGTGCTCATGGCTGACAGTTCCCCACATGCAACACGTCTGGTGCTGGCTGCAGCGTGAGCAGCCTGTTCCTCTGGCTGGTTTCCAGGCACCTTTCCTTCCCAGCCCCTTCTCCCAGGAGAGGCTGAGAAATGCTGCCCCGAGGCAGTTGTTGGGTAGCATTTTGGGGGCGCTGTAGGGGACAGAATGGAAAAGTCTGAGCTGTGCTGCACATCCCAGGATTGATCTCTGTGTTCGTGTGGGGTGGTTGTCCAACCTCCACCTCCCTGCAGGACGTGGGGGGACACCTCTGCTGTCTGGCTGTTGGTCTACCCTTCCCCCCCAGCCCTTGGCATCTGCAAGGTTTCTGGTTGTCTAAACAGCTCTTTGAGTTCTTTTGACATAGTTTTAGGTATTTTGTGTGCTACTCTCTCTGGTCAGTGAGATCCTCGAGGTAATTGGACTCTAGGTCAGGATTAACATTGTACAGTGACGGTGTGTGTTGTTATGAGGTCTCAAGAATATCCTCTGACATGTGGAACTGGGATCTTGTTTTGAAACTCCACATGCAAATGTTCTGGAATTTAAGTTATTCTCGGGACAGTCCTACTGTGCCAGAAACTAACCTCAGAATTGCATTTTCTTCAGAAGATGTTCATAACCTCTGTCCTCTGCTATTTGCTCCAGTTACAGATCCTGCTTCAAAATTGAAGCCACAGTTGATTACTTGAAGTAATTTGGGACGGAATTGATCTGCACTGATGCCATCACAGGGTGGGCACCCGGTCTGTGGAGCGTGTGGGTTGGCTCTGTATCTGTGGGGAGAGAACCCCTCTGGAGGGTGGCTCACCCCCCTGTCTCAGACACCTGCTGAAGGATGAAATCGCTCTCTCCCTCACCTATGGCAGGTAGAGGGGTCATAGGGGGTGTGCCCAGACTGGATGTCTTAAGTTTGGGGCTGCTGGAGTTGACTGAAATTAATTCATTTAGCTCCTCCTTAGCTGCACTGGAAAATTTTTGACTTAAAATGTTTCTGTATTTCAGATATATTACTTTTTTTTATGCAAAAGAGCAGGGCTTGGAAAAGATTTATAATTTGAAACAAACACTCCTGCTGGTCTGTAGTTGTGAATCCTTTGCACTTGTGTTTTAAATTAAAGTAGATCTTGATTTATTCATAAGGCTCTTGTGGTGCTGAGATGCTTCACAATGTGTCTGTAGTTCAGAGTGTGAACCTTAGAGTCTGGTCTCACTTCCCTGTTCTGTGGCTACGTGGCTTTAAAGCAAGAGGAGACTGGGGCAGGAGCCTGGATCCTGAAACAAGCATTTCTTGGAGACAGGTATGACAGGTTTAACATTCAACACCATTTTTATACTGCAGCCTAAGTCTGACTAAACACGGTGAGGGAAGGTCCTGGAAAAATTGCATTCAAGTATCTTATAAAATTTTAAACCCTCATTACCATATTTGAGGGGTGCAGAAAGCAATTCCTGCTACTTGTGTTTCTCTCTTTGCAGTTGGTGCACGGCACATCACCAGTTAACTGCTCCAGTACTTAGATGAGTGTGGAATCAAACATGAATCCTAAGATAAACTTAGATTAGCTGAAAGATTGAAGCTCCGTCCCCAGGGCCGACAGCTCCTTCCCCAGGCACCAGGCAGGAGCGTCAGGATCCAGAGCCGCTTTGGAATTTGCATTGCAGTAGTTTTCAGGTCAGCATTTCCCGTGTGCTAAGGGAGATCTGAGCACACAACAACGTGTGGCCTCTTTGGGGAGCCCAGAGCCTGCTCAGTGGGTCATTGTGCTTGGAGATGATGTTTCCTCGGAGTATCTTTCCTCTTCTACGAGGTTACACTTGTGTCTCGGGGTTTGCTGTTGTTTTGTGTCATGTTTCCCCTGAATCCTCCCCTTTTATTTTCCATTCTGTCAACTTTGCTCATGTTGAGCCTTTTCCATGCTGCCACAGCCCTGGCAATCAGCTTCCAGGAGGCCTTTGAAGATGGTGGGTGGGATTTATAGGAACAATTTGTTGAATCAAACGGGTGCTCTGGGAGTGCTGTCGTGTCCCAGTTGTGCTGGTTTATGTACAGTGGTGCCTGTCCCCCTCAGACAGGCCTCTGCTGTCGGATGCAGCAGCTTATTATCCTGGGACAAATCTTTGTCTGGAGGCCCCTCTCCTTTAACCTGTGGTTACAGATGGACCCTGGCTCAAACAAGGCTTCCAAAATTTCAGACTGAATCTGGTGAGGGAAACCCCATCCTTGCCCCTGCAGCCTGCAGAAAGCTTTTGGGTGTGCCCTGGGGATAAATAGGCATAACAACAAGTAATAATCTGATAATCTTTGGGGGACAGGAAGAGTCTCTAAAATACAAGAACTGCTGTGTAGTGATTCCTTGTGTAAGTGCAGTGGGCACATCAGCACTGTCTCCATTCTGGAAGCAAAAGATAATTTTGGATCCTGCAGGTACAGTGTCTCCTGTTGGTATCCCTTGCTGGAGTTGGAGTCCTCCTCTGCTTAGGAATCCCCATTATCTAATTTTTTACTATTACAGTACAGAGGTTGGACTCCTATAAATATTTTGGGCCAGAGACTTTAGTGGTAGAGAATGAAACCTAGAATGTGGCACTTCGAAGGTGAAAATGTGGAAAGAAGGTGAGATTGTGCCTGAATGTTCTGCTTCGTGTCAGACCAGTGTTAGTTACCATTGAATTTGGGTTCTGTAACCGCCTCAGCAGTGACCACCACATCACTGTGCTCAGCAGGAAAGCTGCACGTGGAGGAGTCCTCCAGGATGTCTGAATTCCATGGGAAGAAGTAATGCTGGAAGATGAGGTGGCCCCTTTCCTCTGGAGCCTGTGAGTAACCGAACCGGGGTGTGAGTGATTTGTTCTGCTGGGGGAGTGCTCAGAAACCTCTGCAGTAACATTTGGTTAATGCCTTTATTCAGTTGTGTCGGTTTCCCATCTGCCCCGCTTTGTGCAGACAGGGACGTGTCTGAGGTGCCAGAAGAAGGGAGGGGCTTCCCCCTGGGGAAAGGGGTGATGCAGAGCGTGGTCTGAGCTTCTGTGTGCACTCTGAAAAGTTCTTTTGGAAAGTGTTTTTTAGCACTAAGGTGAAATCTGTGTAAAACATTGCCCTTTTTCATGGAATCAGGCATCAATCCCTTGTGCCAGTGTTTGGTTCAGTAACAGGAGGGCTGCAGAGCAGAAGCTGTGATGGGGTGTAAGGGCACGAGTTGTTGTGGTGTGTTTTCTTCCTGAGGCTTAAACCTCAGAGAATATTAGTGCCAAGGATCCCAAGTGCTGCAGCTGTTTCCTCCCCTCTGTGCCAGCTGTGCTCTGATTGCTTTTTGTAACGCCCACACCTTAAAAAACCTCCTCCAAACCCTGGAGCCTTGGCAATGTGTGTGCGGAGAGGGACACCCTGTGCCCACCCTTTGCTCTGATCTGGGTGTCTGGGTTTCCTCCAGGGAGAGAAGGGATGAATTTTCATTGAAAATAACCTTGAAAAGGTGTCTCTGGAGGGGTTTGTGTGGCAGAAGCGGGGGTAGGAAAGCAGGGCCGATGTCCCCGTGCTCCAGGTGGAACTGCCAGTGCTGCACCCAGGTTAAGGTAAGAGCTCCAACTGCTCCTGCCTGCAGCTGGACTTGGGATGTTCAGGATCTGCGTGGGGAGGGCCTCAAACACCACAGGGACACACATGGACACAGAGACAGACAAACAGCAGAGACAGACAAACAACAGACATGCCCAGGGACACACCCATGGACAGACTCAAGTGGATGGACAGAGGGCACAGGGACACACGCAGGGACACGCACAAGGACACAGATAGACATGGACATACCCTGGGGCAGACACCTAGACAGACACACAGACAGGGACACACACACTCACGGACAGAGGCATGAACACACGGACACACACACAGACAGATGCACACGGACACACCCTGACAGAGACAGGGACACACACACAGGCTGATGGACACGCAATGACAGAGACACAAACACTGACAGACACACAGACATACTGATGGACACATGGACATGGACCGGGGCACAGACAGACTCAAGGACATGGACACACAGACACAAGGACACGGACACACAGACACAAGGACACGGATGGACACAGACACATATGGACACGGACACATGTGGACACCCAGGCACGCACACACGGACACGTATGGGGACACATGGACACACATGGACACACACATGTATAGACACAGACATGGACACACACAGGCACACAGTCAGGGACACACAGACATGGACACGCACACAGTTGGACACACACACAGACCTGGACACACAGACATGCACACGGACACACACACACACACACACACACTGACAGAGCCACACCCCCCCCCCCCAAGGACATGGACAGACACGGACGCACAGGGACACGCAGAGCTCCCACCCCACTGACTGTGGCTCAGTTACAAGTGATCTCATTTGTTAGGAAATGCACTAGTTTATTTTTTTAGAAAATAAATAAGTCAGAACTGTCCAGGCCATCCCTGCAGTCCTCTGGTCACTGCAGGGCAGCGGGGGGCTCTTGGAGCACGTCAGGCCTGGCTTGGAACATCCCATCTCATACCTGCTTGGGCTCGGCTCTGGTGGTTTTCGTAGCAGCACTTTTCATGTTTGTTATTGCAGCGTCAGGTGTGACTGTGCTCCTGCAGCACCCCCTCTGCTGTGGGTCTGTGTGACTGAGCCCAGTTCCCACCCCATCCCCACTAAACTGCAATCCCTGCTGTGAATGCCAGGCAAATGTTCCTGTAGCTGCTGCTGTGATGTCAGCCCGGAGCTGGTCTGCAGGCATGGGCCCTTTCCCACTGCTGAAATAACTCGGAGCTCAGACTGGGGGGACACAGGGAGGGCAGCACTCTGGAGGGTGAGCTCTCCAGACTACTTCCAAATACTGGGAATAAAACAGTAAGTGCTTTGCCGAAGGATTTCAGGAGCTCCCTGCAGTGGAAAAGGAGGGATAGCAGTACTTGGGAAGCT